GTCTATCCCACCCTTTATTATCTTCTCTAGCAAGCACCACCTCTCTGCCTAGTATAAGGAGCCTAGTATAACATGTTTTACAAGCGAGCAGGCCATACAAGCGAGCGGGCCACCCCACTAACTTTGCGCAACGTGTATACTTCAATCAACCATGGCCCCCTCCCACCACGGCTAAAACAGCTCTCATGAGGCTGATGTAAACCTCGTAATCTTAGCTCTTAATTAACGCCAAATATCAACTAAGAGATCTGCTGCCTATACGTACGGAGTCTCTTAAACTACCCTCCAACGCCAACGCGCTGGGACGCGCGCCCAACGCGATTGCCAGCCCAACTCAAAGAAGCTCACCAAGCTAGAGGAGGAGGTGATTATCAGACATATACTCGACTTGGATACACGTGGATTTGCGCCTACGTACGATGCTGTACGTGATATGGCTGATAAGCTGCTGGCTGCGCGCGGCGCTGGTCAGGTAGGCGTCCACTGGCCGCGCAACTTTGTCAAGCGTACAGACAGTCTCACGACGCGTTTCAATCGAGCGTACGATAGACAGAGAGCCCAGTGTGAGGATCCAGCCCTAATTAGGAGCTGGTTTAAGCTTGTAGAGGACACAAAGGCTAAGTACAGCATCTGCGATGATGACGTCTACAACTTTGACAAGGCTGGCTTTATGATAGGCAAGATCACAACTCAGCTCGTCGTGACAGGGTTAGAGAGGAGAGGCAGGCCAAAGGCTATCCAGCCAGGCAATCGTGAGTGGGTGACGTTGATTGCTGCAATCAACGCAGCTGGCTGGTCAGTCCCACCATTCCTCATCTTTGCTGGCAAGTACCACCTCTCTGCCTGGTACGAGGAGGATATCCCACGCAACTGGGCAATTGCAGTTAGCGACAATGGCTGGACAAACAACGAGCTAGGCGTAGAGTGGCTGAAGCACTTCAACGCTCACACGAAGACTCGCGTCGTTGGTGCGCGCCGCCTGCTCATCCTTGACGGCCACGCGAGCCACCACTCTCTTGAGTTTCAAGAGCTTTGCAAGGAGAACAATATCTACACGCTCTGCATGCCACCTCACTCATCCCACCTGCTGCAGCCGCTTGACGTTGGCTGCTTCTCGCCGTTGAAGCGCGCGTACAGTCGTGAGGTTGAGAGCCTGATCCGCCACCACATCAACCACATCACTAAGCTCGAGTTTCTGCCAGCGTTTAAGGCAGCATTCAATCAATCGCTCACCTCAGCCAATATCTGCTCAGCTTTTCGAGGCGCAGGCCTTGTTCCTCTCCAGCCAGACGCTGTTCTATCGAAGCTAGACGTGCAGCTGCGTACGCCGTCTCCAGCTGCTGCTCTACTAGAGGCTCCCTTGGAGGCTCGTACATTGAGCAACGTGTGCGAGCTTGAGGCTCAATTAATTTTTATACGTGAGCGCGTACGCCAGCATAAGAGCTCGTCACCAGCTTCTATTATTAAAGCAATTAACCAGCTAAAGAAGGGCGCTAAGGTGATGATACTCTCTGCTGAGCTGATGCGCGATCAGATCACCAGCCTTGAGCGAGCCAACAAGGCAGCGTCAGCGCGTAAGCAACGGAAGAAAAAGCGTATACAGAAGCGAGGGACCTTAACAAAGGGAGAGGGAGAGGATATACTCGCTCAAAGTGAGGTTGAGCAGCAGATTTCTTGTGAAGAGCGTCAAGGAGGAGCGCGATCAGGCCTTAGCCGCCAGGCTCTCGCGCGCTGCACAAGGTGCAGAGAGACTGGGCATAACTCACGTACGTGTAGAAAAGATACATTAGATACTGCTTAATTTACTCTGCAAACATCTATATATTATGTTACCACGTTGTTGAGATATACGCTTGTAGAGGTGCGCAAAGTTGGTAGGGTGGCCCGCTCGCTTGTATGGCCCGCTCGCTTGTAAAACATGTTACCTAACAACTAGGTTCTTAATGTCTCTAACAACAGCTAGACTAACAACAAGCTTAGAGTTAAGTAGTTGAAGCACTTTAATAAGCACACAAAGGCGCGCACTGTTAGCAGCTATTAGCTGCTTATTCTAGACAGCCACAAGAGCCACAACTTAGTCAAATTCTACCAGTACTGCAAGGAACACAAGATTATTACCCTGTATATGCCTCCACACTCGTCGCACCTACTGCAGCCACTTAACGTAGGCTGTTTTGCCCTGTTGAAGAAGGCCTATAGCCGCCAAGCTGAGCGGCTGATGCGCAGCAAGATTACTCGCATCACCAAACTTGAGTTCTTGCTGTGCTTCAAAGCGGCTTTTGACGCCTTAATTATAGAGAGCAACATCTAGGGGGGATTTAGAGGTGCTGGCCTAGTCCTACTTAACCTAGAGGCTGTGCTATTAAAGCTTAAAGTACAGCTGCGCACGCTAACGCCACCTACTGTGGACAACAGTATGTAGGAGTCTAAAACACTAAGCAACACCCTAGAATTTAGGTCTTAATTAAAGCTAATTTAAGAGAGGATTTAGAGACACGCTAATAGCTTGCCAACATCTATAGTTAATGCTCTTAATTAGCTTACTAAAGGCGCAGAGCTAATGGCGCATTCACTAGTTTTAGTGCGCAACTAGGTTGCTAACCTACAGGCAGCTAACAAGGCTGCCACACGTTGTAAATCACACAAAAGGAAGCAATTACAGCAAGAGGGGACTCTAGTCTTTGCTAAGGGAGTGCAGCTAACTACTCTAAAGGAGTTTAAGGCCTGTAGTGATAGGAAGAAGGCAAAGAAGAGGTCGCGTGTTGATAGGAGCACTTGGTCTCTAAGGCGCTGTGGCACATGTAGCAAGACAGGGCACAACGCGCGAACATGCAGTAAAGTAGGCTGGCGGAATGGGTATACTCCAACGTCCTTCGTGGGTACCCCCCAAAACTTTGTCAATAATACATGGATTCTAGCAAAATAGGGCTTAAAAGAAAGAGAAAAACTACCTCTACATTTCTATAGTAGAGGGTTTTGTTATAACTATTAAACTGCACAAGCTAGAGGCTAGAAAAGGTTAAAAAAGGGGGGGTACCTAGCAAGCATACCTATTAATAGGTATACTTTGCTAGGTAGTGTTAATAACTTAGCTAATACTAGGCAGAATAAGCTAATTCTTTTTTTATTAGAAGGCGCAATACTAGGCGCTTCTATCAAATAATAGATTATGTAAGCGTATCTCTGCTAGTTAAGAAGCTATAAGCCAAAACGTAAAAAAGCATACCCTACCCATCCGCCAGCCTAACTTGCAGTAACTTGCTATAATATGCAAGAGAAGTTGAAGTTTAGTGTGGTCTTAGCAAAATCCGGTCACTCGCCCAGGCCGGCCAGTCGCCCGTGAGGTACGTTAGTGTGATATAGTATTGGTGTGTGCTGTAATATTGCAAAGTAGGTGCAGTGTTGGTGTCGTCTTGGCAAAAGTGATCAGCTCGCTTGGGTGATCAGCTCGCTTGTGAGGTACGTTACATGTAATTTCCTTTAAAACAAGACCTTATTCGCCTAAATTGGCCTAGTATTAGCTGAGTTAGGGGGGTACTCAAACAGGACTTTAGAGCATACCCATCCGCCAGCCTAGGTAGAATATTAGTGTGGTCTTGGCAGAGTGATTGGCTCGCCCGTGTGATCGGCTCGCCCGTGAGGTACGTTGTATGCTGTACTACTAAATACAAGGCTAACGTGGGCCAATGCAGGCCATAACAGGGTGGCAGATTAGTTTGGTCTTGGCAGAATGATCAGCTCGCCCATGAGGTACGTTATTTTTTTGCAGTTTGAGCGTAGAGACATAATTTGCCTGACTTCTATAGACCTAGGGCTTCAAGGGCATTGTCTAATTCTGGCATGGCGTTGAGTAAATTAATATAGGATTTCGTTGTGTGAGTGTTGGTTTTGCTGAAAAGCGTGAACGAGCTGATGCCGTGCACGGGCTGATGGAACATTGTACTGCAATACACCAGAAACCAGCGTGGTACAAGCCAAGAGTGTATTGCGGACAACAAACATGGTGCTTGATGCTTAGCCTCGTGTGCCTGATTTAGTGGCAATTGGTAGTGGGGCCACAGCGAATAATATCAAACGGGTGACCTACCGGATCGCCATTCGGCTTAGCCTTAGTTGAAGTTGCATAAACCCTGTGATGTTTCTTCTTGCATAATACTTCCAGAAAACTTCCAGAAAGCCTCCAGAACGTTTTTGTACAGTCTCAAGACCTGTGGCTGCACGCAACCGGCCGATGAATCTCTTGCGAGCCGCGATTCGAACTACAAGCGCAAGCACGACTGCCACGATTCGTCCCTTCCAAATGTCTGCGCCAAGGATGGCAAACGGCGACCTGAACAATACAGCAGCAGAACGCGCCAGAAGAGAGCTTGAGATAGACCCAGCTTATCGCAAACGATCTTTCGCTATCCCTCAATCACAAGACGATTCCGAAATCCGGAAAAGCTACAGGCCATTCTTGCTCGACGAAGAGACATCAAATAATGACTGGGTCTCTCAATTAGAATTGAGCACAGCACTGAAGATGGTTGAGAGTCAAACCTTGAATGGCGATCAGGATAGACTCAGAGTGCTTGTCCTGCATGGCAGCATGCGCAATCGGTAAGAGTTCAAATTATGATGATGTTAGCAGGGGTGTTTTTTGCTGACCACAAAAAGCTCTTATTCGCGCCTCCTGTGTTTCGAAGCCAGTAGAGTATTGTTTCGCCTCGGTTGTGACGTTCGCATGTACGATCCACATGGACTCCCGGTGAAAGACGACGAGCAACATTCGCATCCAAAAGTTCAAGAGCTGCGTGAGCTCAGCAAGTGGAGCGATGGGCACATTTGGATCAGCCCGGAGCAGCACGGCAATGTGACAGCCGTCTTCAAGAACCAGATTGATTGGATACCGCTATCAACAGGCTCCGTCCGCCCCACACAAGGACGGACTCTGGCAATTGCACAGGTGTCTGGCGGCTCGCAGTCCTTCAACACCGTAAATACACTGCGTATCCTCGGGCGCTGGATGCGCATGTTCGTCATTCCAAACCAGAGCTCTATTCCCATGGCTTACAAGCAATTCACCGAGCCAGAGGACGTCGAAGGAGGAAGCCGCTTGATGCCGGGCGGTAACAGAGATCGACTTGTGGACTGTATGGAAGAGTTTGTCAAATATACGCTGGTCATGCGACCGCACTTCGATTTGTTTGGAGACAGATGTAGCGAAAGGGAGGAGAGACGCAGCAAGGAAGAGAAGGAGAGATTAGCAAGGGCGCAAGACGAGAATGGGCTACCGGACCTCAAGAAGATGTGATGCTACAAAGGGCTGGGTGCACTAAGCGTGATAGAGCGTTTGCAACACAGACCGCCATGCGTTAGATTTCGCCATCTGGGGCCGCGCAATGCAACGGACAAGTTACAAAAAGATCGAACAACGCGAGTGCGTTGTCCTCTTCGATTTGAAACCCTCCAGTGACCCATGTCTCACCGCGCGTATGAGGGTTTTAATTTACTGATTTGAGCTATTTCGAACTTCCAGCTCCTTGATGTTCTTGGATCCAGCTATGTCGGTAGATTTCGATTTCGATCCCACAATCGTTCGTCTGAGACACTGCGTTTGTGAAACTCTGTGATTCTGTGAACATCCGCTCAGGCTCGATGGGAAGCACAAAGGCCCAAGTCCGAAGTGATCGTGACAACAACTTCGTACAGTGGATAAGACCAGCTACATATCGTGGGCAAGTGGTACCATGCCCTTTGAGCACTCGTCTCACGTGGGTATTTTGATGCTGCGAAGTTCTTTACAGTGCGATACAGTCATGATCTCTGGCTTCTACTCTTGATCACCACTTCCTGAAAGTACTGTTTTGGACACCCACTTTCCTAATGGCCATATCTCTCTTGAAAAGCTGTTAGAGTGCTTGAAATGAACCCAAACCCCCATTTGGCTCGACTTATGGACTGTATGCCTCATCTTCTCGCAGTGAGAACCCAAATTCCTTCGTGTCAAGGTGTGCGCTATGTGAGGGACATTGGTCCCGTTATCACACCCTCATACACCCAGGCTTCATCAAGCCTCACTTGCATTTTGATATCGAATGGATGCTTTTCTCTTTGTCCGATGTTTCGTTGTCGATGGCGTCGTATTCTCGACAGGTTTGCGAAGAAACACCCATAGCAATTAGATCGCGCCTTTGGTACTGTCTTGTCATGTGATTCGCGCTTTATCGTGTCATAAGGCATAAGTGCGCAGTATGTCACCTCCCAGGTAAAAGTACGGATCGTGATACCTATCGTCAACAGAGCCCGATCAAGAAGCCGCAGCCGAGGTCACCGTCCCCGCACCCACCCCACTTGAAGCTACTGAACGCCTAACCAGATCCACAGTACAAGCACGCAACATCTCTTCAATCTGTTGTCATTCCTGGCATCTACCTGTTGCCCCGATAGTGGAGTAACAGACTCAAGCATTCAAATCACACTCCGGACATTGGACAACCATTCAGACTCGCATCAAACACAAGAGCACCTCTGAAGCCACCACCCCAACTTGAATACTCGTCAGGATACCTTTCTCTCCTGACATATATTCCAAATCCCACCAAAATGGCTTCCTTGAGCGGCTCAACTTCCGTCCCGCCAACTTCAGACCATCACCTACCAACAGAAGCAGAAGCATCACACTCCCACAGCCAAGATCACAGTCACGAGCCCTCTCGCTCCCACTCCCTCTCCCATGAGCATCCTCCTCCCGCACCAGAAGACGCCTGGAAAATGACAGGCGTGCGCGTAATCCCCGGCGACTCGCTAGAACCCGTGGGCGGTGCCCACACAACACCGGGCATGGACCGCTCCGCAGCAATAAATCTCGCGCGGGTGGGCGCGCAGAAGCTGTGGGCAGGCACGGTGCACATCCACGCGGGCGCGAAGACTGGCGCGCACCACCACGGGCATCTGGAGTCGGTGATCTACGTGCTGAAAGGTAGGGCGCGCATGCGGTGGGGCGAGAAGCTGGAGTTCACAGCGGAAGCGGGGCCGGGTGATTTCATCTTCGTGCCGCCATATGTGCCGCATCAGGAGATCAATGCGAGTGATGACGAGAAGCTGGAGTGTGTGCTTATGCGCAGTGATAGTGAGGCAGTGGCGATCAATTTGCCGGGCTTGGAGCCTGTGGAGGTCCCTGAGAGTGTGAAGTGGATTGATCCTACGCACCCGGATGGTGCGGGCGCGTAAGGACGACGATGAGGTTGGAGGAGAAGGTACTGCATCGGCAGGTATCACGATCGTGAAACCTGGAGGCATTGGAAGCCGTACGGAAGTGAAGGCCTGTCAAGATCGAAGTGTACCCAGGATCCATATGATGAGGATAGCAGGTGTAGAACGATGGCAAAGGGCGTCCAAGGGCAAAAGCAACCGTCGCTGTATTCGACGATTCCAAGTGGCAGGAAAGATTGTCGCCGACCACAGAACACCGAACAAAGTGTTATTGTAGATGATGCATGTCGTTTTGGCTACCGTAGCTATGCCGAACGCTCCCCAGTCATCAAAACTTGTCTTTCAACATGACTCCATTCAAACATAACTTAGAGGCATTTGCCTACTCGTTGTCGTCCTCTTCTTCATCATCGTCATCCTCTTCCTCCTCCTCAACGGCTTCAGCAGCTTCAGCGACCTCATCTTCAGCCTCAGCATCAACTTCGTCATCCTGCACCAAAAGGTCCTGAATGACGCCGCCCTCACGCTCCATACGTAAGTACTCGTCCCATTCAGGGAACATTTCCTCGTCTCCCTCACCATCCTGAGGTGGCATACCAATGAGCTTGGAAACTTTGATCTTGTTTTCCTTCTCCAAGCTAGCCTTCCACTGCTTGACAAGCCCTGCTGTAGCACTAGGTTTATATGTCTGCGAAAAGAGAACGGCTTCAGAAAAGCGATTGGTCTTGATGAGCAAGTCAATGCAAGCTTGCAGATCACCGATCTGCCAAAGTGCGGAGAATGCAACGTTATTCGCTGTCGCTGCCTCGGCCAGAGAAGCGAGTTCGCGGAGGCCAGACTCGTCCGAGGTGGCAGAGTAGAGGAGCAACAACGAGCCCAAGTCCTTGGCCTTGACGAAGCACTCCTGTGCAAGCTTGATATCCCAGCCGGCCAGAGCTGCATCACCAACAGTCTTCCACTTATGCTCTGTATCCTGCTCACGCGCAATTTCGGTGGCTTGCTGGAGGTCACCCAACAAAAGAGCGAGATCGAAGCGGTGCTCAGGGTCTGTAGCGACCTTGAGAGCCATCTCCTTGTACCCTTGACCTTCCAAGAACCGCGCAATCTTGTTGTTTTGATCCTTCGGCACAGATGGTAATGTCTCTTCTGCAGCCTCAAGCTCTCCTCGCAAGATCAAAGTCTGGTACTCGACAACAGCGAGCGACAGAGCAAATGATACAACGTTGACATCCTTGTCAGCAACGTAGATTCTGGAGTCGCGGGCGAGGTATCCAAGAAGATAGTGCGGCGAGTCGAAGTGGGAGATGGTATAGGTTTGGTCACCAACCAGGTAGTTGAGGCGGTTTGTGCTGTTGGTGTAGATGAAACAGTCGCCGACCCAGCAACCTGTGCGTACACTATCTGAATGTTAGCTGTGTTTCATTGCGCTTGTCTCGATGCATACCTCTCATTGATGTCACAAATAACCTCGAAGGCAGACTCGGCACCATCCTCGTCGATTTCGCCATTTTGGACCGCCTCCAAGTAGTTCTCCCTGGAGTAGCGCAGGACGTAGTATGTGTCTTCTGTGGCTAATGTGACAAGCTCACCACTTTCGGACCAGAAGACGCTCTTGGGCTCGACCTCTATCCTTCGGACAAGGGCACCAGAATCCCAGTCGTAGAATCCAATACCTCCCTGGCCCTTCACACCGAGCAAAACGCCACCGCTCAGGCCGTCAGCCGAGAAACCGACGTTCAGGACACTTCGCTCCTTGAAATTGCGGAAGATTTTTACACTAGTAGCCGATTCCCGGATAGCATAGTCCTTGTCGTGATCTTTTGATGCCCAGCAAAAGTCCAGTGCAGAACCAAAAGCCTGGTTACGGAGCGCCAAAGCGGTGTAGATGATATACTCGCCATCGCCACAAACAGCGACGAAACGACCATTCGGCGAGTGCAGCAGAGATTGAGGGTAGATTTCGGTCGAGCCAAGGTCCTTGGAAGGTAGTGTGAGTCGTTCCGCGTCCTTCAGCGAATCGTTGCCCTTGATCGTCGCTGCCAGGATATCGTTATGCTTCGCCCACAGAACCTTGCCACCAGCATCCATGCTGACCGCTGGCTCCTCGCGACCCATGGAGATGACTACAGCGCCGTCATCGAAACCAAGCGCGATGCCGTTTTTGCTTTTTTGAGATGCCACACACCATGACCGCTCGAGGCCGTAGTTCAGTGACTGCTCCAGGCGATATGTTGAAGAGTGCCAGATCTTAATTGTGCCGTCCTCAGATCCAGAGATGATGACAGGGAGCTCAGGGTGGTAGACAGCAAAGCTGACGTTCGATGTATGACCCTCGAGCGTCGCAATGAGCGCTTTTGTTGTGTAATCCCAGACCTTGACGGTCCTATCGTCGGAAGTTGTGAGCAGGTAAGGCTTGTCGGATTGAGGGTAATAGTCAACGAAGTTGACTCCCTTGGTCTCGTGCGCCTCAAGGGTGAAATTGGGGGTCGAGCTGCCGAGAGACCAGATCTTCACTGTTCGGTCGAGACAAGCCGAGGCGAATGTGTTGGGGTCCTTGGGGTTGATCGCGATACCCATAACGTAGTGCTGATGGCCTGCAAACTCTTGTACACCTGCTCGTTGTCAGCCAACTCATCTATGCCTTCTCGACCTGCGATGTCCGTACACTTCCAGCCCTTCTCCCAGTCCCACAACTTTATTGTCATGTCATCCTGGAGGCGCATCAGTCTCGTTCTTGAACACTTTCCTGGCGCAGACTCACACTGGCGGTCAGAACGAAAGGCTGAGTGGGGTGCACGGCAATTGCGCGGATATAGTCGGGGTGTGCTTCGAAAGATGTGACCTTCTCAGAGGTGTTGTAGTTGTATACGCGCATTTGGAAGTCATCAGATCCTGTAGTCGAGCCACGTCAACAGATGCTCTGGAGTATGATGCTCGGAGCTGTCGCACCTGCAACAATCCAATTCTTCCTCGCAATGAAGCGACCCGCACGGACGGGAACATCGGTGAGCTCAAATGTCTTGACGATCGACTGCGAAATGTACGACCAGATGTGGACGTGTCCTGCCACCGTCAGCTTCCACCGCCATTGTCTGATCGTAGCTGTGCATACCGCTGTACAGCGTTGTGAGGATCCAAGGCTCAGTCGGGTGAAAGTCTTTGAGGCTGATCAGTATCGATGCCGACTCGTGGAAGCGCAATTCCTACCAATGCCTGGCTGTTATTAGTATGAGACCTCGAGTACTTTCGGCGCAAAGCTGAACTTACCCTTGACTCGCTCCGAGCGCGCAAAGAGCTGCCTCTGTTCCCAGTGAGTGACTGCCCAAGTTCCTGGCGGTAGCTAGCATACCTTCACGTCGAGACGCATCTTCGTAGCTTATGTGTATTGTTGTGGAGGGGTGGGTTCGGGAAGACGTGGCTTGTTGTAGCCAGTCTAGGAGCGCAAGCGGAGACCACGTATTACGAGACGTGATTCTGGAAAGGAAGAGGCGTGGCAAAACCGCTGGACAGAACGGTTGCGTACGAAGTTGGAAGGGCCCGCTTCGTGTCCACCTCCGCGATGCTGCACCTGTGTCCGCTGCTGGGCTTGGCGACTTCCGAAAGAGGCAAGAATGAAAACCATTGATCACGGCAAGCATGCGCAACATAAGTTCAGCCCTGGTCCCCTGGTTCTTCGAGGCAAACGTGGTCTGATATTATCCCCAGGAGAGGCGGCCAGTCAAATCATTGCCCTTGTTGCACGTCTCAAGGGGCGCGCTCAAATCCAACTCAGGGCACAAGCGCGACAGTTGCACAGGACACATTGAATTCGAGCAAAAGCCACATTGGAAGCACAGCATATTTCGTAGTAACGAGTAGCAGTTGTGTGAACTTGTCTCAATTCTCCTCTACGGCTATTTACTCGAGATGGCCTCCCCACAAGTGCCAACTGCACTCTTCCAATGGCTCTGCTGCAACGGCGTAATAGATACTCTGAATCATGCTCCAAGCCTTCCGTCGTCCATGGCAGTCGCCATCCGTGCATCAACAAGAGGAAAAAACGGTCTTGCGGCTAGCAAAGACTGGTATCTAAGAAGTGAATATACAAAAAGATTCGAAATATGTTAAAGTATGGTATAGAGGTTACACGGGTGTAGCGAGAGTGTCCGAACATAATAAGCGACAATATGTGAGAGAGTTGTGTGCGCTAGGTGCGAGATGCAAATGCTAGCATGGATGGATCGGTTCGCGAGATAGATGCTGAGATCGAAGCACATGTGGTCTGGCTATGCGCGCGCTGAACAGCTGACTCGAGATCCTGCAAGTAAACGGTGTCGACGGACAAACACTCAGTTCCAGCCTAGCGAGTTCTCAGCCATGACGGGAGCCGAGATCTGCTGTGTACGGATGCTCTGTCCTCGGCTGCTGGCACTTCCATGGCTTCCGCGACTACCAGGTGTCATGCGGCCATCGCGGGCACCACGCATCCAGGCAGCCGCGCCACCAGGAATGGAACCGTATGTCATGCGGCTAGTGCTAGGGACGGAGCTGGAGCGCTGGTGAGCGATGCGCTTGTTGCGGTACCTGCGAGCGACGAAGAACATAGCCGCACCGTAGGCCATGGCTCCAACAATGGCGCCGGTCGCAATACCTGCACTGGTCGGGTTGATCTTGCGGCTGGCACCGGCATCCCCTCCCAAGGCACCACCATCACCGGCGCCTCCAATGGATGTCGCGGCAGGGTCACCACCAGCGACGTTGGAACCGCCAGACATGGTACCGCCAGCTGCGAGAGGGCATGCAGTGTTGATCAAGTTGGTCAGATCATTGACAGTGGAGTCCTTGTTGTGCCAGAATGGATCAGCAGGGTTACGAAGCTGAGCGGCGAGCTTGGTCTGCAAGTCCTTGGGAATGGTGAACATCGCCATAGTAGTGATGAAGCCCTGGTACTGTGTGGTGTCCAGAGGCTTCAGTCCGTAGTTCTTGACGTCAGAGGTGGAGATGTTGAGACCATCTGCGATAGCTATGGGCAGGTAGTGGAAGATCTGATTGCCGTTGTCCTCGCTGCCAGACACGAAGGGGTAGTTCAATGGCCACTTGAAGCACACCTGGCCCATGAAGCTGTCATCAGAGACCTCGCCGGGAACGCCATCAGGGGGGGCAATCATCCTTGGCAGACTCGAGGGAATGCCAACGCTGGTTGAAGCAGTCGGCGAAGCAACCGTGGAGGCCTCCTGGACAATACTTGTGAGAACGGTAAGGGAGGTATCGGTGTTGGTGGCAGTGGGCGCAACAGTACGAATGGGACTCTGCGAGCTGGTGGCTGAGGGGGTTGTAGGAATCGAGAGCGTAGCCGAGTCGCTAAGGAAGGTGCTGCTAGCAGATGCTGTGACGCTGACGGACGCAGGTGCAGATGCTGACGCCGACAGAGTCTCTGATGCTGAAAGAGAAGCAGAAGGTGCGACAGAGGACTCCGATGTGAACGATACAGTTCCTGAAGCAGATAGGGAAGCGGAGCCTGTAGCAGCTGATGTGGACTCAGAAGTGGAAGCGGTGGGTACCGTACTGCTCGAGACGAGGCCAGAGGAGGGACTCTCAGAAGCGGGAATGGAAGACGGGATGCTGACAGACTCGCTCGGCGAGATGGTAGCGCTCGACGAGACAGCGGTACCAACCGAAGTCGACGGGACAATGCCAGAAGACACACCTGATCCGGATAATGTGAAAGAAGGCAAGACACCCGAAGAGGCGGACAGTGAGACGCTTGCCGAAGGTGTGACTGAGCCTGAGACTGTTACCGAAGGCAGGATGCCAGATGAGACAAGGCCGGAAGAGAAGTCAGACGCGATGCTGGAAGCAATGCTGCTGATGTCTGAGGTTGGGATGGGCACGGGGAGAGTGCCAGTTGGCAGGATAGAGGCCGAAGTGAGGGCAGACTCAGCGCTGGACACCAAGCTGGAGATCAAGCTCGGGCGATCAGAGCCAGTGGGTACAGCAGAGACAGCGGACGACAGAAGGCTGGACAGCTCGGAAATAATGGAGGGAGCGACCGACGGCAAGAGACCAGAAGCCGATGGCGGAGGAGTGGTCGAGGCCGAGGCAGGAGCAGTGGGGTTGGCAAAGCCAAAGCTGGGAAGTACGCCAGTTGGTGGGACCTCAGAGACCAATGAAGATAGGAGCGAAGACAGGTCGAGAAGGCCAGAGCTGGCAGGAGCACCCTCCGAGGTGGGTATAGCACCTGAAGCTCCGCTGGTGATAGGAGTCGACGCAGATGCGGTCTCCGTGCCGAGCGCTGTGGTAATGCCAATGATGATACCGCCGCTGGAGACACCAGTAGGCACTACACTATCGCTGGGAAGAATACCAGACTCGACATCTGAGGTAGGTGTAGGCTCGGCACCAAGAAGTGACGACAAGAGAGAGCCAACAAGACCACCAGTAGAGGCCGCCTGAGATGTGGGAACAGCATCAGGGCTCTGGGCGGGCGAAGAGAGATCGCCTGTAGGCAGCACGATCGCAGATGCAGGGGGAAGGAGACCCGTAGAGGCACCCTGGGTAGGCTCAG